TTGTTGGTTGGACATCAATTTTATGTCAAATTTTTCATAAAAGTTATAAAAGTTTTCTTTTCTGTTTTCTTTAAGTTTATGTTAAAGTTTCCTGCTAAAATTATGGAAATAGCATCACGACCTTGTACCATAAGTGTAAAGCGAAAGAGAAATGATGGCAACCATACCAGTTCTCTGGAGTGCAAAAATTTGGATGATTAGCAGAATATAGATCACGTGTCATAGATGAAACTGATTCTGATTGGCTGTGTGATATAAAGTGTACTTCCGTAAAATGTGACGAGTTTCCGTAACACAATCTTTCTAGTATACTTTTCCACATCAACGTATTTACGTCAAGAGAACGTGCCTGCATATACGGAAATCCGAACTTTATCAAAGCAAAAACTGAACTCATCAATATGTAAATCGAGAAAAATTTACATAATTATTATACGAGAGATATATTTCATCAAAATTTACATTTTAACGATAGAATTCTTAGTATAATGTTATAAACCTTCTCATATTTTCGATAGTTGCTTTCCTTAAAATTATAATTTAATTAGTTTATGCTTCGTTAATAAAATTTTAAATCATAGAACTGAGCACAAATGTTAATGAATGTTTATTTTAAGAATTATTCATTTTATCAAACGTATATAGTTAAAACCATAAGATATATAATAAAATCGATCTCTATTATTCAGGTCAAAGCCTTATTAAGTTTTGAGATACACGATAATATTATTCGAGGAGAAAATGTTAAAATTCTTAAATTAAATCTGTTTGAAATTGACTCGAGGTAAAAAGAAAAAAGTAATTTACAAAAATACTGGGAATTAGAATACTCCATTAATGTATCAATGTCCAAGCATAAACATTTCCGAGTAAAATTATTGGAAGTAAAATAAGACCATGCATTTTGTGAATTACTATGCAAAGCAAATTTTATGTAAAATTTTAGTTTAGATTTCTACAGTATTTGCTGAATAATAAATATATTTCTGGGTGTTTATTTTACTAAATAGTAATATTTTATAACAGAATTACGAAATTTTAACCTTGAAACGTTTATATTCTTTATTCCCATATCATATATATATAGGAATAAAAAATTATGGAAAAATTATTAAAAAATGGATTATATATATAATATATATAATCCATTTTTTAAATATAAACTTTTATATATGTATTGATTATATGAAATTAATTAACAACAATCAATATTTAAAATATATAAAATCTAATACAGCCAAACTTCTATTTGCCGTCATTTATCTCTAGTAAATCGAGTTTATTTTAATGTAATGCTAAATAGAATTACATCAAGCAATATCAAATGTATATTATAGTAATGAGAACTACAAACAAAATTTGAGGTTGGGAGTTTGAATCGCGTGGTTTAATGATCATAATATTATTTGAAATGAAACTTTGTAACTTATATTTAATAACTCACAAATACGAAGGGCACTCTGTTTAAAAGGAGTTTACGAATATTGATTGGCGATTTACATGTATGACAGAACGATATATCGAGATTTGACTGTATTTTTAAATTTCAATTAGGCCTATAGACTTAATACAATTTAAGTAGGGAAACTGGGGCTTATTGCATTAGAAGTAGATTGCATCAACGCAGTTTAAAATCAGCAAGTGTAGATATTAGCTCTACATTGGAATAGTTTATGTAATTAGTCGCTTACTTCTTGTGTGAAAAGTTTTAGTGTGACGGCAGTTAGCGATCTGGAACGAAAAATCTTCCCTGATGCTTCTTGTCAAATTCGGTGAGTATCAAACTTTCTCATCTTCTAAGCAGTGTGAATCTAAAGGAAATAAGAATCTTAGTATTGCATGGTTTTGTACAGGAGATAAGAGTGAATTACATATGTATACTTGTGAGTATTGATAAAAAAAGATATTGATAGTAGCGTGACTAATTCGGGCACATTGCATTCACTTGAAGCACGTTGTATCAGAATGGTTTTGCAATGCATAAAAATATGTGTAAAATAGTAAAACCAATGCTCTATGATTACTTAAAAATTGATAGCATAAATTCGATGCTTTGGTAATAAAAATTTATTGATATTATCGATGTATATTTTAATTTTTAAGAAGTTTATTGTTACCATTCAGAAATAATAATAGTAAGTCACAGTTTGCACATTTTAACGTATCAATATATATTGATCAATATATCTCCCAAATACCGTATCTACGAAAAATNCTTAAACAAAAAAAAAAAAACAGAAAAATTTCCCTTTTTGCTGTAAATTACTTTCCGTAGCATTGTTTTTAGTATTACTTTTAAAACTATATTGATATTTCTATATATAATAAAAAAAAGTGTTTCGTGAGAAATATGTAAATATATTCAGTGTATATGCATATTACATATATACGATCCTGTTGCATAAAACTTACCTATTTTAGCATGATTTTTTTTCTGTTTCATTGTTTAGTTTGTTTAAGCGAAAACTCAAAATATAAAAAACTGAAAAATTCATTAGTTTTAGACGTAATATTTATTCATCTAGATATATTTTTCTATATCTAGAAGTAGGACCCATATTTTATCCTGTCCTAATTATGTCTCATCCATAAAAAAAGAAAAAAATGTTACTTTGAATTATCAGTATTTTCATCTAAAAAACCAAATGACCGTGAACACATTCAAAACAGACTCTAACTTTTTTATTGTTAAATAATTAAATAAATATTTATTACCCACCAATCTGTGCATTTTAAAAAAAAATGAAATATTAATTTAAATTTCATTTATCTTATAATTTTGTGTGATTTTTACCATTAAATTAATGGCAATTTAATGCGTATAATTCTGTTCTTTTAATTTTATTATTTGTATTTATCTACTAGCCTTTAAGTAAAAATGAGCACAGTTCATGCAGCTGGATTTACATCTCTCGACATCAAAAAAATGTTTTAAAATTAGGCTGTAAAAATTAATAAATCAAAACTTGTAATTTAAAAATTAGAAAAGTTCAGAAAAAAACGTATGATGTATTAGTAAATAGAGGGAAAAGGTGTAAATGGCTCATATTCAAATTGCATACTGTATCTTTAAGCAATTGTATTGATAGAATACATAGTTTGATTTAATAAAGGGAGAGAGAGAGGGAAAGAAATCAATGTGTTTCTGTTTACTATTATTATTTATAACTTGCTGTGCAGACTTATAAATATAATACACAAATATATATGTATGACTTCTATATAATAGATTGATCGATGGAGTGAATCAATGCTAAAGCTTACTTAAGATGCTTTTCTTTGTAGAGTCCAGTAAACATCGCTGATACGTAAATGTTGTTATTGATATTGACAATTTTTACTTTATAATAAAATTTGCCTTAAATTTTCCACTAGCTAATAAAATTATGAAATGAAAACAAATATATAACACTTTTCATACTTTAGGAAACAAAATTAGAAAATTATGCAAAACTATACGAAGACTAGAATCTAACATGATAATTTTTAAATTAATAATAACAATGTTCTAAATTGAAAATGTTTAATTATAACAATGTTACATTAAAAAATTTTTATAATTATTTTATTTTAACCTAATTTTAATATATTTAATATGCAAAAACTATACACGAAAGTTGTCAAAAATTGATTTGTTTTTAATCAAAAATACACCTTTTTATAATATACAAAATCTCATTTATGTATGGAATTTGTTTTGTTTTCACATAATATCTATAATTATATTGCAGAATCAAAAATATATAATTATATAAATTTGTATATAATTTGTATTTATAATTTGTATACGTGTAATTACAAAATTAACAATTATGTTTATCCTGTAATTTAGAATTAATTTAAATTAATAAAATTATTTTATGTAGATTAAATGATGAATGATTAATTATATTCAAGTAATTTTAATAATAATTTATTATCGAATCACATATATATATTATGGTTATGTTTATGCATTCTAAAATAATAAAATAAGATTTAAAATAATTTGAATAAATAAAAATTATAGAAACATTACAGAAATAAATATTTTTGGAAGTTTCTACTTAAACAACAGCAAAAATAAATATGAGCTTTATTATTTTTAGGTTCAACATTGATATTCAAATAAATCCTATTTGTTTGAATATCAATGATACTCTATACTTTTTAAAATTCAGTTTACTTAAAACACTTGTCCAAATCTTCAATATCCCAAATACATATTCAAAAAATTTTATAATATATCAATATATATAATACCAATGTATTAGTAGGGTATATAATAATAATATGAACATATATTTTCGTTTATTTCTTGTATTTTTGTCTTTTTTATTAAAAAGTTAATAAAGTCAGTTTAAAGAATAGACTTTTCATTTCTTCTTATTTCTTAATATAATAAATATTTACATTGTATTTACTTTAAAAATCATAAATAAATAAATTTTTTTATATATAAGGATGTCTTTACCCGTGAATATAATTTATTTTTATTATCATATTTAAACAACTTCATTATTTTTATGATTTTTTTTTGATCTCTNGGTCATTTAACACCAGGGTCGCAATTCATTTATGAGGCATATGAAGCAATAATGGTTTCAATTGTATGATAACCCTTCAATAAAATTATGTACTGAATACAGTATATATTGTATTATTATTTATAATCAAAATGGGATTTTTTTTCAATATTTAAATTTTGAAAAATTACTTAAACCGAAATTGTTCATAAATGATTGAAGATAAGACACTTCATTATATAAGCTACAATATTGACAGACGATAAAAATGCCGGCCATCATCGTCGATATGAATGTTTTTACGGATTACTCCGACGATTTCAACGAAATCGTTTAATCACGTGTAACAAGAAGAGAAAAAGGATCACGAAATGCACTAATTCTGGATAAATCAAGCTAATTTTTCATAGTAAAAATAATATTTCAACCTTCACCATCGTAGAACGTAAGATTCCAACTGGCGGTGTAAGCCGCAACGTCGGACGAGATTCTCACCTGTTCGGAAGGTGGCCGAGGATCCATCTGTTCGTAATTTTTCCCATTCGGATCTGCATCTATCATATTTTAAGAATTAAAAGAGAAAACATCAGACGAGAGAGAGAGAGAGAGAGAGAAAGCGTCGCCGAGCAACAATATCGCCGTCAACAGATCAATGATCGGTTAGTGCTGCCCTCTTCGTGCACGTGCTTCGTCTATCGTCTGTCTTTTTAAATGCCAGCAGACGATCATTTTGCCAACTTGTTGTCGGAAAAAATGAAATTAATCAGATGGGTAAAAACATTATATATTGAAAATTTGTTTTATTTTAAGATAAGTTTTAAAATATAGGCCTATATATGGCTTATTTATCTAACATATAAATGGAGTACACAAATCTAAGGGCTACAACTAATGTTTTCTTTCACTTTCTAGATAAATTAACGGCTCAGTGGGGCCTTATTTTGTTGGAAAAAAGGGGCAATTGATGGGGTCTCACTAATGAGATGCCCAAATCAGTGTTTTATAAGAAAAATAATTTCCCCGAAGAAAATGTCTGTAGTGGGGCCTTCAAATTCTAATTCGTCTGAGCCGTATGAAGCTTAAACCTATAGGTAGTAAACCTATGGCATTTTTATCATAGTTTACTGGTAAGCTAATTTTGCAACTTTCCACATAAAAGCAACTTATAATAAACAAAATGCATATACTATTTAGCATAAGCGAATACATTATATACCATTTGACTGTTTTACTTGTTATAAGTTGTTTTTATGTTGAAAGTATGCCCTTATGCAATCTGTAATAAGGGTATATATTTAGCATACGTGCACAGCGTACAACATTCCGCATTATGAGGTCCTTCTGATAAGGAACGTGACCAATGATTAAAAAAACTTCCAATGCTAAAGTTTCCCATTTTTTATTTTTAAATGAGATCATAAATCTTGTATAAATGTTTATTAGCTGTATTGAATCGTTTCGTATAATGAAGTTTTTATAGTTGCCTTAGACAGTGTTAAAGGACAATCGATATAATCTACCGGAAATGAATAAATATTAAATGTGTTTTATTGATTTGTAGTTGGGATTCGAAAAGATGTTTTGTTTTTTTTCTTCCATTTCCTCTATTTAATCTTTGCTAAATTGATGGTTGGTGAAAGTATTACGTTTAGACCTATAATAAAATATAATTTCCGTTTAATTATAATGATTTAATTTGAAGATATTTAGAAATTTCATCAACATCTATATTTTTACCATTGAAAGGCCTTTTTTCAACTTGCAACTGTTAAAAATAGCGATTTGACAGATGTCCATATTCTAATCGAAGTAAGATTGTAAGGAAGAATTTTAAAAACACTTTTTAAATATAGTTTTTAATGATTTTTAAAGACAAAACTTTATTTTAAACACGAAAAACTATTTTTTGTAAATATTAATCAATTAAACTTGAAGCGATAAATTTGAAATCGTTGAAATTATCAATGAATATTAAAGTGTAATTGCAGTATTAAATTTGAATATCATATTTTACAATTGAATTAAATTAAAAGTTTACTATTCTATAATATAATATTTATTCAGATATGTAAATTTCAGAGAAATATTATTTATCTAGATACAAAATTCCATTCATTATATTTCAAACTTCAACATTATCATTATTTAAAATCTAAAAAAACACTTTTTTATAATTTTAATATTAAAACTAAAGTTATGATCGTATTATGATTATAAATTTACATAAGATTTGAAAATGGGAGGTAAGATTAAGAAATAATAATAATAAAGACAAATTTAAATGTATGTATACATACATACATTTAAATTATTATGCACCTTTTATTTAGAATTATAAATAAATTATAATTAAGTTTCTAGAGGGGTGGAACTCAAACCGTGGCATTATTTTGTAGAAAGTATTAACAGGGTGTGGCACATTTCCCTTTGATTCATAACATTTATGATGAATAGAAATCGAAGGATCTGTGACATATTTTTTCTATTTATTAGCTTATCTTTGTTAAAATTTTAAATTTAATTATAGAAATAATCTTAAACCAAACGTTACAATCATCATAATTAGAAAAACACAAGAATGATATTGCATTTATAACTATTAATTGCATATTTCTATGAATAATACCTAATGTTCCTAAGCAAATTAATAAAGATTTTGACAAATTAAAATAAATAATACATATTAATTAATAAATACAAGTCATTTAGAAATATTATAGTTGTGGTTGTAATTAGAAAAGGTAAAGTAGGACACCAATTAAAGTTCATTCGATTATACATTAGAAAAATAATTTCAATAGTTAATTATTTTATAAATTATATATGAAGAAAAAATTTTATTAATTAAATATTTTCATCAATTTAATGGAATGCTTAACTAATAAGTTACAATTGAAAATAATTGCAAAATTAACGTTATTTTTTGAATAATATTCTTATTTTTAACATTGTTATAACTGTAATTACCTAAAAATATTAATTGTTTTAATTATTTTATGCTCCGATTATTTAAAAACATTATTAAAAAACACAAACTTTTTAAATATTTAAACTTAATATTTTAATTTGAATTTGATGTAAACACCACATCATGATGGTTAATTTTATGCCATTTTTAGAATATATAAAGAAATATTAAAAGGGAATTTAATCTCCGCAAAAAAGTAAGAGTGCAACCAAGGTTCTGAGACATTGATGTAAATACGTCTTCAGATTTAGCTTGAAATACAATAGTGTTTTATAGATTATGTTGCTCGTGTATTTTTTCTATGTATTACATTCTCTTTATACTGTGTTTAACATATGATACACGGATTTTCATATATCAGTAGCTTCCGGTGTCAGTTTGATACTGGTTATAGTTAAAATAGGTCTATGAATAGTTGAAGTAAGTCACAGTTTGCACATTTTAACGTATCAATATATATTGATCAATATATCTCCCAAATACCGTATCTACGAAAAATTGTGATTTAGTAGTGTTGAGTTGTTGGTTGGACATCAATTTTATGTCAAATTTTTCATAAAAGTTATAAAAGTTTTCTTTTCTGTTTTCTTTAAGTTTATGTTAAAGTTTCCTGCTAAAAATTATGGAAATAGCATCACGACCTTGTACCATAAGTGTAAAGCGAAAGAGAAATGATGGCAACCATACCAGTTCTCTGGAGTGCAAAAATTTGGATGATTAGCAGAATATAGATCACGTGTCATAGATGAAACTGATTCTGATTGGCTGTGTGATATAAAGTGTACTTCCGTAAAATGTGACGAGTTTCCGTAACACAATCTTTCTAGTATACTTTTCCACATCAACGTATTTACGTCAAGAGAACGTGCCTGCATATACGGAAATCCGAACTTTATCAAAGCAAAAACTGAACTCATCAATATGTAAATCGAGAAAAATTTACATAATTATTATACGAGAGATATATTTCATCAAAATTTACATTTTAACGATAGAATTCTTAGTATAATGTTATAAACCTTCTCATATTTTCGATAGTTGCTTTCCTTAAAATTATAATTTAATTAGTTTATGCTTCGTTAATAAAATTTTAAATCATAGAACTGAGCACAAATGTTAATGAATGTTTATTTTAAGAATTATTCATTTTATCAAACGTATATAGTTAAAACCATAAGATATATAATAAAATCGATCTCTATTATTCAGGTCAAAGCCTTATTAAGTTTTGAGATACACGATAATATTATTCGAGGAGAAAATGTTAAAATTCTTAAATTAAATCTGTTTGAAATTGACTCGAGGTAAAAAGAAAAAAGTAATTTACAAAAATACTGGGAATTAGAATACTCCATTAATGTATCAATGTCCAGGCATAAACATTTCCGAGTAAAATTATTGGAAGTAAAATAAGACCATGCATTTTGTGAATTACTATGCAAAGCAAATTTTATGTAAAATTTTAGTTTAGATTTCTACAGTATTTGCTGAATAATAAATATATTTCTGGGTGTTTATTTTACTAAATAGTAATATTTTATAACAGAATTACGAAATTTTAACCTTGAAACGTTTATATTCTTTATTCCCATATCATATATATATAGGAATAAAAAATTATGGAAAAATTATTAAAAAATGGATTATATATATAATATATATAATCCATTTTTTAAATATAAACTTTTATATATGTATTGATTATATGAAATTAATTAACAACAATCAATATTTAAAATATATAAAATCTAATACAGCCAAACTTCTATTTGCCGTCATTTATCTCTAGTAAATCGAGTTTATTTTAATGTAATGCTAAATAGAATTACATCAAGCAATATCAAATGTATATTATAGTAATGAGAACTACAAACAAAATTTGAGGTTGGGAGTTTGAATCGCGTGGTTTAATGATCATAATATTATTTGAAATGAAACTTTGTAACTTATATTTAATAACTCACAAATACGAAGGGCACTCTGTTTAAAAGGAGTTTACGAATATTGATTGGCGATTTACATGTATGACAGAACGATATATCGAGATTTGACTGTATTTTTAAATTTCAATTAGGCCTATAGACTTAATACAATTTAAGTAGGGAAACTGGGGCTTATTGCATTAGAAGTAGATTGCATCAACGCAGTTTAAAATCAGCAAGTGTAGATATTAGCTCTACATTGGAATAGTTTATGTAATTAGTCGCTTACTTCTTGTGTGAAAAGTTTTAGTGTGACGGCAGTTAGCGATCTGGAACGAAAAATCTTCCCTGATGCTTCTTGTCAAATTCGGTGAGTATCAAACTTTCTCATCTTCTAAGCAGTGTGAATCTAAAGGAAATAAGAATCTTAGTATTGCATGGTTTTGTACAGGAGATAAGAGTGAATTACATATGTATACTTGTGAGTATTGATAAAAAAAGATATTGATAGTAGCGTGACTAATTCGGGCACATTGCATTCACTTGAAGCACGTTGTATCAGAATGGTTTTGCAATGCATAAAAATATGTGTAAAATAGTAAAACCAATGCTCTATGATTACTTAAAAATTGATAGCATAAATTCGATGCTTTGGTAATAAAAATTTATTGATATTATCGATGTATATTTTAATTTTTAAGAAGTTTATTGTTACCATTCAGAAATAATAATACGTTTGTCATTTGTTTTGTGTTAACTATAATTTTTACTAATTTTTTTTTTTTGGTGTGTTAGTTTTTGGTAGGGCGTATTGAGGACTTATAAGATGGAAAATACCCGATTTTTCAACTTAACAACTTGTTTTTTAGAAAGCTAAAAATATAGTTATCCAAAGAAGTAAAAAGTAAAATATAATAGGAATTAAAAAAAAATAAATTAAACGTTTTCTTTAGAAATTGATGCAACTAGTCCCAGTCTCCCCTATAATGATTAATATAATCATAATCATTTTACATTTACAATGCATTCTACATTATTTAATATTAATATATTGAAATAAAAAATTGGCTATCTATTACGAAAAAAAAATTTAAATTTGCAGAAAGAATAAAGAATTGCTCTTATAAATCAAACTGGCAAGAGTAACGTTAAATAGAATTCATTGTTTATTTTAGTATTAGTTATTAAATATTTATTTAATTTACTTTATTATTTATTAAGTTGAGGTGATAATTTTGTGAAATATATGTAAAAGGATGCCTTTAATAAGGTAATAAAGTAAAGGATTCGGTTATTATTTAATTAAAACAGTTCTCATATTACATAAATTTCTCTTGCTCAGGTTATAACAGATAACTTATTCATTGTATGAAATTAATTAATATATTAATTATTAGAGCTAAAACTTTACAAATCAAAGTAAATATTTTCATATTATTGTGTAAATTTGAAATTACTGAATTTTTAAAAATTAATTAATAGCACCAACAAATTTAATAGTTCTTTATACAATCATTTATGATAAAATATTAAAACATTATTTTAATTTATTAAAATATTAAAACATTATTTTAAAACATTATTTAAGTTTCATTGTTATATAGGGGAGATCGGGGCAACTTCGGCATGCGGGGCAAGTTTGTCAAGCGCTTTTTTTAAAAAACAAATTAAAAGGAGACTTTGGTTATAGGTTAGGCAGTTGAGTTTTATTGGTGGCTTGTTGAGTGTAGTGTTTTTATTGTTCTCCAACAAGCGTAGTTGAATTATCAAGCAAATTTTCATTTTCGTTCAATTCCATATAATATTTTTTTTCCATTTATATTGAATTGGCAGGTTTTGTTATAATTCCATGATAACGAAAGTTACTTTTCCTGTTAGAAGGATGTAACTTCAACTTATTCACGTGGCCAGATCGTGGCTTGGCATTCTGTTCTCAGGGTTGTACTTAATGTTTCGAAATCATGACTAGCGGGGTAAGATCGGCAACATAAAGCCACATTAGAAGCAAAGGATAAAAATCAAACAGATGATAAATGAAAACATGTTTGCATTTGTTATTCATGTATATATGTCTTTGAACTTGCATTTCGTTGTAATAATATTAAATGGGTGTTGGATTTGTATTTCTTTGTTTTAATAGTGAATTCCAACTTATACATTGTTAATAACATAATTTTATATACGTGCCTATCTTGCCCCATTACTGTTGCCCCTATACCAGGGGCAACTTTAATAAAAATAATTAAAATAATTACAACTTTACAAAAAGAGAGAAGTTGCCGATCTTGCCCCTATACCCGGGGCAACTTCGTCAATTTCTCTCTTCTTGTAAAGTTGTAATTATTTTAATTATTTTTATTTCCAAACTGATTTTAACCAGTTCTATAGTAAGGTAACATTCCAATAGACAATATGCAAAGCTTTTTTTTCAGTTTACAGCAGTATTTATTACACAAAATTTAAGTAAAGCTTAACATGCCGATCTTGCCCCGATCTCCCCTAATTATTTTGAAGATTTAATCAAGATGTGGAATAATTATAACTTATGCTTATCCAAATACCATGTCATTAAATGATTTCAAGAAAATTGAAAGTCAATTTTTCTAAGATTATGTTTTTAAGAATTAAAAAAAAGCAACTGAAATTCTAATATTTAAGAGGTAAACACCATAAATGATTATGCTGCATTTATGTTTACGAAATGCAGTGTATAAACAACCCAAAGACGCTGAAAATAAACGTTAAAAAAAGCATTTAAAAAGCATAATAAATGCAATGATCCATTTAATCTGCAATTTTGCAAATGGATCAATTCTTTTGTTTCTAGAAACTAAGACAAAAACAAATTATTTTGTCGATTTTTTTGAAAATGAGCCATTTTAAGTAATAAACGATAGCTATTTCTGTGTTAAAAACCAATAATTAAACATACCCTACATTTGAAACAGGTTTTTATCATCAAGGATCATAAATTATCTCAGAATATTAAACAATAAAAGAATATTTTAAAATAGAGGTCCCAAAGCTACTGAGATTTACGGACCCATTTCAAAAATTAAATTTTGCAACCTCCAATATATTTATATCTTATATATATATACGTTTGTGGGTTGTATATACAAATGAACATTAGATTTACGAAATAAAATTCAGTTTTATATATGAAACAAAGCAACTTTATTTTTACTTTAATATACTTCGTATAATTAATAACTTTATTTAGTATAAGTTTCTTATACATAAAACGATTCATACGCGCATAAATATAAACATATAAGCCTATTAACAAGCGAGTTTTAGTGCTTGACTGTTGACGTCACAGTAGCATCTATTCAAAGAAAATTCGCTTTTGCGATCGAATACAACTGCTGTCTTCGGAACTGATTCGAAAATTGTTGCAACAACCACTTTAGACCATTCCATCGAATGTGATTCTACGAATGACGTCATAAATAACTCGATCGGAATAGGAATGTTTAATTATTTCTTGGTGTTAACATATGATGTATTCTGTTAAGGCGAATGAAGATATTTTTACAACGCCATATAAAATTATAGCCTATATTCATTTTAAAAAATTACATTTTTTTTTCTAAATGCCCTAATGTTATGAAGACTTTTCAGTGTTCATAACAATGTTAAGATGTTTTCATGAATTTAATCTAATATGTTTATTGTATTATATCAATATATAAATAACGAATATTTGATTTAATAGAACACTTTGAGGGTTTAACAACTAAAAAATATTTAAAACTAAATATTTATTATATTGTGTTTACATCGATAGCCGTGTTTTTAAATGAAAACAGGTTAACGCCTGCTTACATTAAGTCATTCAGGTTATAGTGATGGTTTGAGAATTTGTTGCAATAAATAGGTACTGTATATCAACTGTCGAGCGCCAAAATTTGTTTAATGATAGAGATTGGAGGCTTTGTGAGAGAAGCCAGGTTTGTATATATGTTACCGTTAAAGCTCGAAAGTCGTTAATGTGTACATTACCTAGTTAATCTGCAGATTAACTAGGGTGATCCGTTAAAGTTGCTAAAATTGTTCTATTTCTCAAATTACCTAGGTAAAGTTCAGATTATCTAGGTAATCTGCAAATTACCTACTAGACACTCGGTAAAGTAAAAATAAGATCTTTGCTGGAACAATAGCAACGTTTCTGTACGCTTAAATTAACATAATGTTAACAATGTAAATTCGTCTCTGTAATCCAAAACACACGCTTTGGTAGACGTATCTCACAGCAATTTCTGGTTAGCAAATTTAACTTTTATTTTTCACTTAGTCAGGGGATAGAGGAGTGAAAAGTCCCCACCTTGCAGACTGGACATCTAGAGAACAGACGTTGAATTCATCCGTCCTTAGTATCAATTTTCCTTCGAGTTAAACTATAGTAATCTTTATTTTGTATTTTACATATTAATATGGTATGCATAGTATTTATGTTAAAACATAAATTGATGTTTGTAAACGGTCTACCCTCCTACCTCCTAATTTGTGAAAAAGCAAAATAAGAAACAATTTTTGTTGTGTACTTAATGAAAAAATGTAAGTGTTTTTAGTGTTTTTTGGATTTGTTTCATTTAATGTAATATAACATAGTCATGTTTTAACACTTTTTGTTTATTTGAATTAGCACCGAAGAGGGGTTGGAGTATATTATACCAACCCGAAATATATTTGTAGTTCGATGAAAAATAAAAGTTAAATTTGCTAACCAGAAATTGCTGTGAGATACGTCTACCAAAGCGTGTGTTTTGGATTACAGAGACGAATTTACATTGTTATTTAACATACAGCAAACCAACTATATATTAACATAATGTTCTTTATCTAATTTTCGATATCTAAAGAATCAAGTTAATACAATCAAACAATCAACAAATTAGTTGATAGAATCAATCATCAACCAATTAAAAACCATACAAAAAATCAAACGGTTTAAAATATTAATACAATTAGGGATATTATTATATAGATCAGTGTTTTTCAACCTTCTTGAATACGCGACCCCTTTACAAGTTAAAAAAATTCTGGCGACCCCCCAAGGCCATATTAAAACTATATCAGTGATTTTAAAAACTACGTATTTAATTTTCTTTTTGTTGAGACCTAAACATCGATCGAAAAACCAATTGTACTTTAAAATAAAAACGCGAAGCCTTCTCACTGAAATTGTAGTTTTATTTATTGTAGTGTAAGACCTACAAACACTTGTCTTTTTCTTTTACCCGCGACCCCCCGTGTAAGGCTTTGCGACCTCCCTGGGGTCGCGACCCACAGGTTGAAAAACACTGATATAGATAACCACCTATGGAATTTCGGGACTTTGAGTATCTATCTGAACTGAGGGAATCGAGATGACTTCAACGATACCCTACTTTTGAACCAGAGACGAAAATTAATAAAGTTATACTTTTTCTGGTGATCGCATGATATAATTGTGCAGTTAATGTTACCTATGGTGAGTAAAATGGCGGCTCGTCTCTGATTCCAGCAAAGAGAAGAAAGGAAACAGTGGGGACGCACGTTCTAACCTAACCTAACCTATTCTAATAAATTACCATAATTATTACCAACCAAATTATTAGAATGGGTTAGGTTAGGTTTGAATGTGCGTCCCCACTGTTTCCTTTCTTTGCTGGAATCAGAGA